CAAGGAGGAGCTGCCCCCTGGACCCCGTGCCTGCGGGCCGGAAGCTGGCTTCATGCAGTGCGTTAAGACCTCAGCCTCCCCCTGTGTGGGCTCCTACCACCCCCATCTTTAAGAGCAGCGCTCTCGATCTGGAGGGGCACCCAGCAGCAATCAGCTGTGACAATGAGCTCAGCTGGGGCCTCAGTTTCCCCTTCTGTAGAAGACAGGAGACTGTACGCCAGTTCTGCTCAGGGCTTTGTCCTCCTAGGGACACAAACCTGCTCTTAGTGACCCCGTAGTTCTCAAACTGGTCTCAAGGACCCCCGAGAGCTTTGTGTGCCTGTGGGTTTTATCTGTTACTATTTAGCATGGAAGGAGCAAAATCTTGAGAACGAGGCAACATCCCTCGATTTACCACAGCAGTGTCTGGAAGCCACTGCACACTCAAGACAAAGTTCACTGCTCTGCAGACCCCCAGACACGGTGCCCAGGCCACCTCTCTGCCCAGCCAGCCCCCAACACCGCCCGCCCCAGCTTCCTTACGCTTCCGGCCGCTGCTTGTCCGGCCCCTCCTTTCCCTTTCTGCTGTGACCACCATCACCACTGTGCCGCCTCTTCTTCTTCAAGTGCTTCTGCATCTCCCGCAGGGGGTCCAGGCGCTGCTTGATCTTTTCATCTGGACCTGGGCCAGGTGGGGGCGCCCCCCGCCCTGGGGGGAGCTGGTACCAAGGCGGTTGAGTCTGGGCTTCCGCAGCACTCTGGCCCAGGTATGTGAGGATCCCCAGAGCTTTCTCCTGCCTCTCCTGAGAGGACAGAAAATAGGAAGGTGCGGATGTGAAGAATGGCTCCCGCAGGGAGGCCTACAGGGGCTACCAGGACGCCCAAGGCTCCCGGGCGAGGCAGAACCAGTTTAGCCAACAGGTGCTGGAGAGAGGTCACGAGCCAGCTCTGCTGTGTTCTAGGGACACAAAAGACCAGCACAGGTGAGCCTCCAGCCCTGGGCACAAGTGCAGGTTCAGTAACAAAAAGCACAGAAGGGAAGGACAGGTGGTGCTCCTGTAGGGTTCAAAGGCAGGCATCTTTGAGGATATAATTTGAAGACCAAGCAGCAAGCAAGGCGCAAAGGAGGGAGGCAAGTTCAGAGTTGGGTGGGAATCCCCGAGTAGGCGAGTGACAGGATCCGCTTTATGCCAACAAAGCTCCTGGACACTTCCCAAACCCCAACAGGGCCTGGACGCCAGGCCAATGGGTCTGCAACTAGCAGCCACTTCCAAGTGGCTGCAGGCTTGGATGGCAATAAACAGCACTTCTGAGTGCTAGGTGCCGGGACCCCTCTGGGTCCTCTTTATCAGCTCACTTAATCCCCACCCTCACTCCATACTCCTGTTAGTCACACGGGAGGACAGACGCCCCCAGCCCCACCCATCACTCATGAGGTGGGAACCCAACTTACTTTCTCCTGTCGCTTTTCTTCCTCGTACTCTTTGTTGCCTCTGGTCACCCCTTTCCCTTCCTCTAGCAGCTCCCGGAATAGGTCCACAGGGCCGGGAGTCGGGGCTCCTGCCTCTGCTGCTTCCAGCTCAGGTAGTGAGTTCTGACGCCTGGCTTTCTTCCGTAGGAATTCTGTGCGGGCCTGGGGAAGAGTCAGTCACAGGCTCAGCATTGAGAACCTCGATGTGATTCACATAGGTGTGACGCTGGACCACAGAAAACGCGGTCCTTAGTGCTGGGGGTTCAGAAGAGGCACCTGTCCCAGCCCGCGGAGGGCGTGGGGGAATGCGGGACACCTGGTTTGTAAGCTGCCTCCTTCCCCAACAGTCAACCAGCAGGGTTCCCAATCTCGGGTGGAGACAAACAGCCCAAAGTATGCCAACAGGCGATGTGGATTACAGGCAGGGCTCCATCCACCACGGCGTGCAATCTCTACCAATAGGTTAATTTTAAAAGCCCAGCCCATCTCGAGGTGCAGTCAGCTTTGAGATCAGATTCACTAAAGAACAAAACTACGTATAAGCAGGAGGTTAGGAGTTACACGGAAAGCCCCTGGAGCGGGGAGGGCAGGGAGAGGGCTCGCCCCACAGCTTGAGAGACTGCAGGTCAAATACTGTGCACCGGGCGAGCATACAGTAGACGCTCAACAGGGAGGTTGTGCAGGCAAACTAGTCCGAGTTTCCTTGAACTGCTCAGGGGTTCACTTTTCACAGGCCGCTACTCTGTACCAGGCACTCTTCAGCCTCGCGAAAGACACAGGTGGGGGACACCAAGACAAAGCGGAGGCCTAGGCGGGCCCCGCACGGTGGACACAGGCACAGGTGGACACGCGCCTCCAGCGGCGCCCAACCCCTCCTACCTCACGGGATGCACCGCGCCTGGGCGCCACCCCCACTTCCGGCCAATCCCAAAGCGCCTGCGCGATCGGCCCGGGACTCCCCTCCGGCCGCGCTCGGGGCTTACCTCCTGCTGAGCGAGCAGCACTCTCCGCTCACGCTCTTTCTCCTCCTCCCGGGCCTGAGCCTCGTCACGCCGCACACGGGCGACATTGTCTTTGTTCCGGACGTGCCAGCTCTTCTTGGGCAAGATATTCATGGCGTCGTAGCCGGTCACCCACTGGCAGGCCCGCCTCCAACCACTTCCTATTGGCGAGAGAGTGCCCCTCCCTGTTGTTCCTGTTTCAGCTACGGATTGGGCCTGGGCTGATTGCCACGCCCCCAAGTCCGTAAGGAGAGCTGACTAGCTGAGATGCCCGAATTTGGGTTGGTGTAGCCTAGCGACCGCCTCCTGCCAGGGTTCTGAGCCAATCACGTGTCCCCGCGCTGAAGCATACCGGACGCGGCCGCTAATTGGCTGGCACGTCTGTCAAGTCTTATCGAGGCCAATTCACTTGATTGGCTTGTGCCCGACTCCTCCCCCGCCCCGCTGCAGGATGCAATTTACAAACAACTCTCTGCAAGCTGGGCCATCTTTATTGATAAAAGAGAGACGTTCACTGGAGTCCAAGGGTGGGGGAGCTTCAGAGTCCTGGGAATCCCCGAATCCCAAGGCTGTTAAGGGCATGGATTTTCTCCACTTCCTCCATTTTACAGATGACGTGCCGGAGGCTTACAAAGGGTCTGGGGGGGGGGGGGGGGGGGGGGGGGGGGGGGGCAGGTCTGGGTCAGAAAGTGGGACATCGTCCTGAGCAAGGGTAGGGGAGGTCAAAGAGCCCCGCTGGCCGAGCTCAGTGCCACAGCGCGCTGTGCCAGGAAGACCTTATTCTGCGCCTCCTACGTAAAGGGTAAAGGGAGGTAGAGGTGAGACGCCTCTCCCCACTGTTTCTTTCCATATCCAGGACCCATTCACAGGAACCCGATATGGCTCACCGTCTCTATCTGGCGTTTGAGCTCAGAGATGAGACGTCCATATGAGTTAGCCAAGACCAAGGTATACACCATCAGGATGCTGGAGGAGACAGCAATGGAAGCCACACCCGAAACGCTCTTAGACTATCTTCAATGCATGGCCCCTTAGAAACCAGAGACCTGGACCCCCCAGCCTCCTCCTTCCTCAGACCCAGGAGTCCGGGACCCCAGCCGCCTCCTCCTCCCTCAGACCCACAAGTCCACGCCCCATCCTCTCCTCCTGAGACTCAGGAATTTGGGTCCCCAGCCCCTTCCTCTCTTAGAAACAGGCAGCGGGGGCCCCAGAATACACAAACTCAGACCTAGGAGTCTGGGCCCGCTCACCTGGAGATTAGCAGAAGAGGCACAGCAAAAGCCTGGGTCCCCAGGAAAAAGAGAAAGTTCTGGGCGATCCGAGGGAGACTGGAAATTGACTCAGGGATCTTGGCCCAGATGGACGACTGACCTCGGAAGGGGCCACACAGCTTAGAAGGTGGGATCCTGAAGAAGTCAGAGACAGTGCTCAAGGATGGTCAAGATGCAGAATCCTGGATGACAGCGAAGGGATGGAGGGAGGAAGAGGCAGGCGCCTCTCACACTTACAAGAAGATGCTATAAAGGACGGGAACAGCAGAGATGGTCAGACCCAGAAGAAGGACCAAGGGGAAAAAGAAGTTCACTGTGGAGGCCCGAAAGGTGCGGGAGGCCGGAGAGCAGGTGGAGAAAAGGGTGAACTGGGGGGAGAAGGGGGAAATCTGAGACACAAGAATCTGAGCTCTAGCCTGTCCTATTCTCACCATCCAGGAGTCTGGGTCCCTGGTGCCCCCATAAGTCCCTAGACCTTTGCTGCTATCAGACCCAGGATTCCGCGCCCTTCTTTCCTCGGACCGAAAAGACGCCCTAGACCCCTCCTCCCACATCCAGAAGTCTGTCCTCCAGACCCCTCCTCTCTCAGGATCTAGTGGTTGGGGACCCTCGCAACCCGCCTCCCCCAGGACTCAGAAGTCCATCACACTCCTCACCTTCTTCAAATAGAAAAGTAGCAGGAACTTGACCGTGTTGAGCATAGGTAGTAAAGGGCAGAAAAAACTCCCTACCCAGACCACCGTCTGCGCGTAGATGAGTCCCAGCACCTCGTCGGGCACCTGGAACTCCTGGGTTCCCACCGTGCGTCCCAGCGGCCCGGGACAGAGGCCACAGAGCAGCCTGAGGGGTGGGGCCGGGCCGAGTCAGAGGCGCCTCCACCGCCCCACCCACCAATCAGAAGGGAGCAAGTCTGAGGAGGGGAGGAGCTTTCAAAGTCCCGGAGGGGGTGTGCCCAGAGGCGGGGGCCCAGGGCGGGATAGGGGCGGGGCCAGGAGAAGGAACTAGGTAACAAGGGGGCGGGGTCTGCGTGTCTGGGCGGGATTGTGAAAGGGGCGGAGCTATCGCGAGGGGCGGGGCTCTCACTTCCGAGGAAACTGGATGAGCAGCATGACAGCCAGTCCAGTCAGCAGATCAAAGATCAGGAGTTTGTACATCTCCTGCCCCAGCCGAGTCTCCCAGCACTGAGGAAAGAAGTCACGGGTCAGAAAGACCTCAGGACCCAGGAAGCTAAGGGCCAAGCATCCAAGTCTCCAAATCGCAAGCCTAGGAGATCCCTGCAATCCTTTCTCTGGGGATCCTCAGTTTTCTCGAACATCCCTACCCATGTCCTCAAGAGGAGGGGTGTTCTAGCACTTTAAACCTGGAGTCTGGACCCACCCAGCTCCTCCTCTCCTTCAGGGGGGCCCAGGGTTTGGGGCCCCTCTCTTTCCTTCTCACCGGTAGCTCTTTGTACTTGTAGCCACAGGTTTTGCACTCCTCAGCCTCAGCATTGCCCCCGCAAGTGATCTGATTCCAAAGAGAGAAGAGCAACACCAGCAGGGAGGCCAGGCGGAGAAACACGGTCCTGGCGGAGCCGATGGAGGGAAGGGAGAGGAAGGGGAATCAGCACTGGCTAGTGCTCACCATGTGCTGAGCCCCTCCTGTGCAGGACACACTCACCATTCTCCCCATTTCACAGATGAAGAAATTGAGGCTCTGTAAGAGTCAGGATCTGAATACAGAGCTCACTGGACCCCATATCCTGGGGACTTCCGTGCCTTATGAACTACAGCCAGCGCCCTTCAGACCAGCCCTGCCATCATCCCCCCACCCACCCTGCAAAGGCTAGAACCTGAGCAGGATAAAAACAATCTGGCGGCTCCTGGTATAGCCCTCCAGCGGGGCGATGAGCTTGAACACAGGTGGCAGCAAGAAGTTGACCCCAGAGATGAAGATGGACGGAAGGTAATCCACCCCAAGCTTCACCAGTGGCATCTGCTGGACAAGGGGCATCTCCTGCGAGAGAAGGTGGACCAAGCAGAGAGGCTCTGGGGTTCTGGAGGAACGCCCTCCCCCAGCCTCTTCTTCCTTCAGCGCCCCGAAGGCCGAGGTCCGAACATACACCCCCCTCCCTCCTCTCCAAGATCGCAGGAACTCTAGACTTCAGGCCCTGCAACCTTGGATAGGTGAGCCCAGGCCCGCAGGACTCCCCTCCCCCAGGACCCTCCGCACCTGCAGCTTCACAGTGGCCCCTGTAGCCCAGTAGACCCCGTAGAAGGCTGCTCCCAGGAGCGCAATCACCAGCAGATTGAGCAGAACCCGCACCGACCACACCTTGGCTTGCTGGCTCAGGGTCCGCACTGCTGCCTGGCGCCGTACCACGGCCTCCTCCAGCTCCACCTGAAGCCGAGAAAGACGGGCATTTGGGCTCGGTCCCCCCCAGGCCCGGCCGGTGGTCCAGAGCCCCTGCTCAACTTGAACTGATACAGCACCGTCCCTCTGAGGACTGCTGTAATCCCTGTCCCAGCCCCTCCATGGTCCTCTAGGTCACCATTTAGATCTCCCGGCCCCGCCCCTCCAGAGACCCACCCAGCACCACGGGCCACGCCCCCAGACCCGCACGCCCCGCCCCTCCGAGGCCCCGCCCCGCGCCCAGTTCCCGGTTGCTGGCCTGGATCTTACCCCGAGGAGCTTCAGGCCCCGCAGCCTTCTTGCTGCTGGCTTTTCCCTGTGCCCTTTGACCTCAGGCATTACTATTGCGGCCTCTTCCCAGCCCCCTCCTTTCCCAAGGCCCGCCTCCTTAGAAGAAAGCTCCACCCGGCATCTCTGCGAGCCGCATCCCTGGGCGAAGCCCCGCCCCCTTCGGTCCCTGTGTGAGCGTAGACCCCCCACGCGCACCTGCAGCTCGTACAGGATGATGCGATGACGCAGCCGCACGTGGACATCCCCACGGAGCCCGAAGTCCCAGGCGCTGAACACGCGGTGGCTGTAGCTGGTCAGGGCCCCGGACTCAGCCAACAACGTCTGTTTCAGTCCTGACACGGAGCTAAGGGAGGGCCAGGAGACAGGATGTGGAAGGTCAGCCCCCTCCTATGGGACAAACGGAAGACGAACCCTAGGGCCTCGGGCATGTGGCGAGCTGCTACCTAGCAGAGAAGGAGTCAGAGACCAAGAGAGAGATTCAGGGGCAGACTCGGGAACACAGACACCGGAGAGACAGAGAAAGACAGAAACCCAGTAGAGAGGGACAGAGCTCCAGAGAGAAGGGGACAGGACCCAGAGTGAGACAGAAAAAGACCCTGGGGAGAGACAAATTTAGAGGGGACAATGAGACCCCAAAGGGGACAGATTCAGAGGAAGGGGGACAAACAGTGAAACAAGGAAAAGGAAATCTAGAGAAAGGAGTCAGAGACTCAGAAGGACAGATGTCCAGAGAAAGGGGTTGGGGGAGAAAGACCCAGAGAAAGGAGGACAGAGACTCGGAGAAGTGGGGCAAAGACCCGGGGGGGGACAGACACGCAGAGAAAAGCGGACCAGGGGGCTCCGTCTCCACATTCACCGGCCTGGCGTGAGCCCCCAGCTCCCCTTCCGTGGACACCTATGGAAGGACTGACACCTGGTCTCTGCCTCCACCCGTGCCCTTTTGAATCCATTCTGTTGTTGTGCCCGTGGAACCCTCTTTTTATGCAGATGAGACATTACTGCCCTTTAAAACCTATTCCACAGCTTCTCCTTGTTCTGACGTTTAGGCCCCTTCATCGCACAGCCAGCCAGCGCGCACCTGACCCAGCCCCCACCTACTTGTTGAAGCTCAAATCCTGTCCTTCCCCCTCCACTCCCCCCCACCCCTGCCTTTGGAGTCTCAGAACACTCCAAACCTCTTCTCACCACAGGGCCTTTGCCCTTGCAGTTTCCAGTGCCCGGAATGTCCAGGTCTTAGCCGCTCACCTGGCCCATTCCTTCTCATCTTTCTGGGCTCTCTGTACGGGTCGCCTCCTCAGATAGTCCTTAACTGACCGCTCCATTTAACGAGGGTCCCCGCGCATTCTCTATCACGGGGTGGTGGCGAACTACGGGGCCAGTTTTTGTAAATAAAGCTTTATTGGAACACGGCCACGTGCACTCATTTACTTACTGTCGACAGCTGCTTTAGCCGGACAACAGCGGAGTTTAATTCACACGGAGACTAGCCGGAAAAGATGAAACTATTTCCTATCTGGCCTTTATCGAGAAAAAAATGCAGCTCCCTGTCCTATCACCTTGATCATAGCATCCCATCTGGTTTCTAGATGGGGCTCCCAAACTGAAATAGCTGATTGGCTTTTTAAAATTTTTTTAAATATTTATTTTTGAAAGTGAGAGAGACAGAGTGTGAGCAGGAGAGAGGCAGAGAGAGAGAGGGAGACACAGAATCCGAAGCAGGCTCCAGGCTCTGAGCTGTCAGCACAGAGCC